GCTTCGGGATTAAATAAAAGTTAGTAGAATTGTGTCGACGATGTTTGCATTGAAATCAAAATACACTTGACCACCAGACCCAACAAAATGAGCATAGATAGTATTCACAAAAGCAGTAGTATCAAAGAAAGTTCATTTGGCGTCTAATTACAGAGCACAATACTCACTTCACTTGTTTTGAGATGTTGATAGTACAACTCTGATCAATATAGAGCCTTAAAGTATTTTGTGATTTTAGCCAGCTTGCGTCTCCATCTGACTTTTTTTTCACGGCTCCATACTTGTCACAAGCAACACAAAAGCAATATAACGACACTAGAAAATGATTCTTGCATGAAGATCTTTGGCCCACACTCAAGTTCGTGAGAGACATTAAATGACTTTTCACACTATTTTGGCGATATTTCTCCAACAGTAACTTGTCAACAACAGACAAGAGCAAACAACAAAAAAATTTCAATTGTGGTTGAAAGTGACACAAAACCCATATAACGACAACTAACAACGGTTCCTGCGTGAAGATCTTTAGCTCATACTCAAGTTATTGAGAAACATTAAATTGCATTTTGCGTTTTTTTGACGACATTTCATCAATATCAACTTGTCAACGACATTTCATCAACATCAACTTGTCAACATCAGACAACAAACAACAACAAATTTTCAGCAATGTACAAGAGCGAACACGAACTTGGACTTCCAATCTTACTTATGGCATCACACAAACTTCATTTATGACAAATGTGGCAAAAACACCATCTAATGCCATATTTGAAGAGTATTGTTCATTATTAATTGTTTGCAGATGCACTTACTTTGTAATGAGATGTGATTACAAAAACAAGACAATATTTTCTCATGAAATTTATCACAATAACATTTAGAAAGTTTAGAGCCATGATTAACAATTTTTTTGAATCATTAAAATAAGATCTTATAAAATAATCAATTAGTATAGAATTCAATTTATGATTTAAAATAAAGAAAAACTTAAATCATACTTGCTAAATTGAATGACTAACTTAGGATCCATACACATGTTTGTCAAGTGCTCATTTCATTGTTTGTCTTTGTATATGTATTTAAAAATTTTATTATAAGTATTAATTATTTTCTTTCAAATTATGCATGATCAAATTTTTTATATTCTATAATAAAAAATTAGAATAAAACAATATTTATCATTAAAAGATAATATTTGGCTTAGAGATCATGTATGTGTTGTTAAACCAATCACAAAGATGAAAGAACTTGTAAAATAAAAGGATTTTGTTTACTCAGACAACTATAGGTTTCTCGACATAATAGATTTAAAACTTAATTTTAAATTGATTCAAGATTTGTGGTTAAATCATTGACTAAGAGTGCAATTGGAAAAAAGATTTCAGGTGTAAAATATTATATATATATATATTTCAGTTTTATATATATATATATATATATATATATATAAAACTGAAATATCTACGGAAAAACTGACATGAAATTTTTTGACAAAGATAGAAATGGTTTTAGATTAAGATTTACTTATTTAGATAAATGAATATATAAATAAATTTTTTAAAAATTTCAAAACTCAAGAAATTTTTAATATAGAAATCATTTCTATATGCAGAGGATTATGGTTGAAATTATTTCATGTATTTGAAAACTCAAATTATTTCTTCAATTTTTACATATGAATAAAATTTTTATTTTTATAAAATTTTGAGAATTTGAGATGAGCTATTTCTTACATTAAAAATTTATTAAATTTTTTTCATTTCACGTAACATAGGCAGAAAAACAATTTGACATCACGTATTCAATTTTTGAGATAAAAAGTGGACTCAAATACATATTGATAAGTCACAGCGGATGCTGGAAATATATCTGGAAAGATATCACCTGTAATATTTTTCCTGTTAGAATCAAAATATCTGAATTGAACATCTTTAATTTTTTAACCCTCATACGATAAATACATGAAAATTAAATTATGTTAACCTGACCACTCCATTATTCTGTTATATGTCAACGTCGAAAAATTGACAGGTTTGGTCACAATCTAATAAATTTGACTATCAAACTCCATTCTATCTACTCTACCATGAACTATTGGCTGTCTTGCATATTCAAAAGTTGTTTTCAAAAAAACTCTCACATGTGTCTAGCCCCAAGTTACTATTTGATGGATCTTACAACATAATTAGATATTTTGTTCTTTACTTCAAATTTTCTGGGCTCTTTTGTTATAAATCACAATATATATAAGTAGAAGAATACTATGGGAAAATCCAGCGTTGCACAGAACTCAATATCATTGGGTGTTTGAAGATCAACAACGTTGAGACAGACGAGCTAGAGACTACTCTAAGATGGCTTCAAAATGCATGTCCTGTAACGAACTATCTGCCTCAAGCAGGTATATGTACAATCTTGGAAGTACAATAATTATATGTCCATCATCTAACAATATCGTCTCGAAATTTCCGTTCCAAATTGGTACATTCGTCGGAATCGGCTGCCTCGCATGACACATATCCCTGACGCATGCACAGGTGAGCTCGACGGTTGTTGACTTCACTAGTCCAATAGACAATCCCAGACACCAGGCAGGGGAGAGAGTGGACGGTGACCTTACAATGATGAGTGAGTAGATAGCGAGCCCCACCCTGGGCCCCGAGGGTCTCGAAGTGCCGCTGACGCCATAAGATGCATAAGTGGTTTTCCGGACCGGCCTCTTGCTCAAACGCTGCCTCTGGCTGCCACGTCGCACCCTCCAAATCATCCAGAACCTTGCTAAGGAGCTTTGCATGTTTGGCCTCTCATCGCTCTCTGTGCTAATTCTGGAATCTTTGACCTGATCTTTAAAACGAACCACGTAGTTGCGTCGCTTGCATCCAATAATACAGAAGTTTGCGTCGAACATAATCCTTACTGCGTACAAGTATTGAAAGTCATACGGTCTTCTTGCTTGCAGGAATTGATTCTTACGGCGGAAGAGACAGTTCCGGAAAGATGAAAATATAAGAAAACACGAAGCACTGAAGCTGCTTAGTTGTTGTTTAATTTTTTAATTAAATATTCACGGCAATGTGGTAGTGTTCTTGTAATGACTTTGAGTTCGGCATGCCTGTCGCAGCCCTTGGTATGTAAAGTGGCTTGGGACCTGACAATTTCGAAGAAAATCCATCGTATCTGGTCTGAGAAATGCGAGATTTTTTTTTAAAAGTAGATAAAGTGGCATGAAACTGCCATTGATATCCACACGAATTATGACACTTGTACAATCCATGATCGATAAATCACATGACCTAAAGAAGACGTGTTTGGAAGGTGACGAGGCAGCAGAAAAAAAAAGGCTGTGGAAAGAAATATTAATACGTAAGCATCGTGAAGCTCAATGATCGGACGTGATGACAAGTTGTAGCTCGGAGAAATTTAGATATTTGGGTTTTGTGTTACATGGAGTTTTTTTTTTTCCGTTTGTATTTTATAAGACACAAAGGGGATGCCATAGTTCCATCTTCTCGGACATCAACGCGAACTTCATATTAAAACACATTCATTCCACATTAATCCCTCCTCGATATTCAACAAGCTATGTTTAAGCCTTGCTGCACATGGGGATACGAGTTTTACCCAAACAAATGGCCTTTAGAGGAGCCAAGATATGAATGTCATGTACGCATCAGACAACAACTTCCACCTCCATCCACTCACAAATAGGCAAACAGTGATCGGTTTTGATTTGAGTAGAATATCGTCGGCATTTCATTCGAAGGCGCTGAGTGGACCGACAAACATTGAAATATCCGGGCATTTTCTCCTTGATATTTTCCAGTTTGGAAAGGAATATCGCCCATGGGCGTATCTACGGTCTGCTACGGTATCTACAGAAGAAGTATAGCGGAGAATAAAGGGGAACGCAGTAATATCATCAATATCATGTATATGCTGTTATCAATGTATAATTTTATCACGGCCAGGCCCCCACAAATGGAGACTTGCCCCGAACATGCAGAAGGAAACTAAATAAAAATAATTACTGGTCGCCGAGTGTAGCTACGTGCAAAAGACTCAGTAGCAGTTTCCAGTACACGTCCTCGACGTCGCGTCCCGTCCCGTCCGGGCCCGTCATTCCGTCGTCGGGTCCGTCACAAGGAGTCAGCCCGCGGCTCTCCCGCGCTACTGCATGGAATTTCTCGAGGCGGAGGTTCTGCGGTCCCCTTATCCGACGATGGTAGGCAGAGCAGGCCAGATTTTCCCTGCGTTAGGGATTATAAGGGAATTTCGGGAGGTAGAGGACGGAGCGCGTGGGACTTGGAGCTGGGACTGATCCTTGGGAAGAGTAGGATGGTGGGGCAGCGACAGAAGCACTAGCACTGGCGCTAGGAGGAGGAGGAGGAGGAGCAGCAGCAGCAGCCGCGGGGGAGCGTCGTCGGACGTGTTGGAATCAAGATCGGAGGGGATTGGTGGGGACATGCGATCTCGACGAGCAAAAGCAGAGGCTTCGCCTTCGGCTCGGCTACGCTCTGCGTTCGACATGCGGCGATCACAGAGCTCGAGATTTTGCTCGTGACGGGTGCTCTTCGGCTGAGCCCGAGCGTTCGTCTGTGTCCGAGGCAGCGAGCGAGCGCAAGGCGGGAGATTATGGACGTCGCGATGGGAGGAGGAGGCGAGGGCGGGACGCGTTCGAAAGAAGGAAAATGAAATGTCATAGGTAGTCGTGGATTTGAAGGAAAGAATCGGGTGTTTTTCGCGATTTACGACGCGGGATGGCGTGAACAGCAGAATGATGACAATGGGAATGCCGGTGCGCAGATGTGTGTCTTATGGTCGGTGGAATTTTCTATTTCGCGGGTAATTTAGTGTATAATTTTGTGCGTCCTCCGAGGCAGGAGAGGCGAGAAATAGAAGGTCTAGCTGCGGCTGCAGGGGAGGAACTTTTACATATTTTCTTCCTCCTCCTCGTCCCCGGCAGGAGAATATAACCCGCTGGCTTCATTCTCAACGCTGTCGTCCTGTTGCACGTTATGGATTGCCCTGTTTCGTTCTTCATGCGGTTGTCTCGGTGGAGCATTCTGCCGTAAAGAAACGAATTTAGGAATTTTTGGCATGAGCAATATGGTGCGGAGTTCCTCAGATTGAATCTGTTAGGGATAGTGATTTGAGCTGCGGAAACACCGGATGAAAGTGGGAGCAAGATCATTGGAATTGAGTAGTGGATAGGAGCAGGTTTTATCGGGTGTCACCATTTTTGGGTTCAAATTTGTCTATGACAATTGGCCCAAGGTGACCACACATTCATGGCCCGCGTATGTATTATGCAAATCGTACCCTCGTCTGTTCCTTTGGGTACAGAAAATGCGGCAGTTAGTGGAGGGATGGGTTGCGTGTCTCGGGTGCTGCTTTCACCGTACGCAGGATTTCAGATTCCCGCTATACGTAGGAACACGGCCTTTTTGCCGAAGACGGGAGTCAGTCTACGAACCTCTTTGTCTTTGCAGGGACGTACCTCGGAGAAATGTAGGCATCCTATGATTACTGCATTGAGCGACGATTCAGCTGGAAAAAACGGCAGTGCGAACTGTGGAAATGGGAAAGCTGCATTTGAAACTCTAGATGTCATTCATGAGGAGGATGCTAGGCCTGCAGTTGATGACCGAACTTCCGTCGACTCTTCTGCCGGACAACCTTCCATGAGTTTCGCTGGGGATCAACGTGACGTCAGAGGGTCTGTTCATGGAGCCATCCTCTGTCACCTCAAATATGTGAATATGAAGTTTCGAATGAACCTAAAATATATGCAATTCCTTTCTCTTCTCTCCTTCCATCGCATTGTTCGTAAGATGTCTAAGGGTTTAAGGTCTCTTCTCTTTGTTTCCTGGATAGACCTGTCAAAACGAGAAACCTTTGTCTTTATTCTTCTGAGTGTTGTTGTCATGCCAAGCTTAGCCTGGAAATTGTTAATTCTTCAATTGCTATGACAGCTTAACACTAATTCCAGCAAGTGATGAAGTACTGGTAATGCGAGGCAACTGACATCTTCTAATCTGTCGCGCAGAGTTCTGGCACAGGTCCCCGGGCTTTGTAGAGGACATTTAGCATGTAGGACGTAGTGGCGCTTGTTGTTTCGTTTCTTTCAATTACATTTGCATCTCGAATTCTTCTCTAAGTCTCCAGTCATTACTTCGAGTTATATCTTGTCTTGTGCTAAAAGTGAAGTCGTGGAATTCAATTTGTGAAATTTTGGCTTGCAGTGTATTCCCCAGCATTGTTCCCAGCGTTTCCAACAACACACAGAATCTGACCGGAAACGAAAACTCATCGAAAGGGCCAACTTCAGGAAGCGTTACATTATTTTCTGGGCATGACAAATCAGTTTTCCTCAATTCCAGTGACTATGATCCTACAAAGACGCGAAGGGCCTCCCCAGTTGAAAACGGTGGCAGTGTGGATGGGGACGAACGAAATGAGAGGGTGAGGACGTGCTTCAACTCATAATGACGTTCTTTTTTAAAGAATATATATATCGATCATTCGTCTTTCGATTGAAGTTGCAAATATCAACAATTGTGTCGTAACCAATTTTGCTGCAAACGTCACTGGACCCCGTGGAACGATGCAACGCGGAAGATTGGAAAATAGTTCGAGTCTTCTTGTAAATTCGTGCCTCAAGCCATAGTTGTGACAAACCGAAGGTTATTATTTGCCTGAGACTACAGTGTTGGCATAGCGCACCACATTCCACTCTCCAGTAGAGCAGTCGGAAGGTTTGAGCTACTTTCACCTGTCCTTTTTGTGAGGTGAAAAAACTTCTAGTCCCTAATGACAAACCCTATTGCTCTTTGAACATTATCTCCACGTCCCTAAGATCCGTATCTTCAAGTAACAGAGTTATTCAATTCGTGCAGCGTTGCTGATTTGTTGTGTTTACATTTACTTGATTGGGTCTTTAACCCCACGTCACAACTGGATGGAGAACGAAATCTCATGTCTGTGTGTTGAATTTGCAGTACTTCAAGGAATCCGAGAAGCCATCGTTTGTGTCCCTTGTCTGGGAGGCTGGCGCGAAGATCGAAGGAGTCACAACTGATGTAAGGCAAGAAGAAAATGAGCCTAACGAGCAAAGTCTAAGTTTGATAATTGACGAGGATTATCGTGCCAGAAAGGTAAGCTCTTGGCTTCAATCAGGCTTGTATAGAGCTCGTTAGAAATGGCACATGTGTTCATATTCTTTCGGTGGGCTGTAAATATGGTGTAACAGGGACATCATCATCCTAGCTGCTCAGGCAACGTTCTGAGATAATCTCTTTCTTTAAAGAATGAATTCCCTTTCAAACCCCGTGCTGCTACCAGGATGAAAGCAAGGTTGTCGAGGGATTCTCGCATGCATCTTCGCAGTCTCGTAAAGATCATGTTAGAAGTTTTAGGTGCCACTCCTACTCCTGCCGAAGTTGGAAGTAGCTCAGTAGAACCAGTTTTGAACATAGCGGACAGTCTGATTACTAACTTAGAGTTCAGGTTCAGTAGAACAATTCCATTAGCTGTCCTTCAGTATCTCGATTCCAGTTTTGACCTTACACGTTACTAATGGTGACCGTGTCTGGTTAAATTATGTTATATCAACACTTATATCAGGATGAAACGATATTTCATTGTTTCTGGATCTGGTCTAGAGACTCCGCATCCAATATTTGGGCTTGGGCCCAAACTGTTATCAGGTCCACCGTCTTTATTCTCGGGCGCCATAACCAACGGTGGAAAGCCTTCTGGAAGCAAGCTTTGTTGGGGGCCCAAGTCCCTCGGCGTTTTTCTGAAGCGAAAGAAGTGTGGTCCAGTATAGGCGATGCGACTCAGAGGACTCTTTGGCTTCCCAGAGAAGATGATGCCTTCGACATCTTTTTTCGGAACATGATCGAGATTCAAAAAAACATTCTGCAGATGACGGCAGTACAAGGGAAACTCGCCTGGATTAGACTCCAGCAACAATATTATAGGGTCAGTTAAGAATGGGTGGGAAACTTGTGGAGCTGTACTACAGCTTTTTACTAGCATTTACTTGCCTTAGTAGCAAATCAAGGTGGCAGTAAAGTATCAGGTGAGTTGGGGCTTTGGTGCTGGATGCTGGAAGGCCTGATTTGGCTGACTAGTTCATCTTGGACCCAGAGTTGTCCCGGCTGGTTGATATGTATAAGGTTCTTGCTTGGTGACCTTGGACCTATTAGGAACTCAGCAGACCAGCAGAACTAAGTTGCGTGGTTGCTTTTGTGTCAACCAGAAACTTATGGCATTGGAAGAAATTCTGGCCACATTTCCAAACTCCGAAGACGAGTTGAACTCACGAGAGGTCGAGCTGCTTGCTTACACCGAGAAGCTCCTGACTCAAGCTAAGATGAACCAAGAAGCATATGCCAGCAGTCAAGAGGTATCCGCTAGATTTGGGCATGGACTCATTGTCTTATTTACTCTGCCAAATTCCGCCTATAAGGACCCATGCACTGGAGAATCTGCATAAATAAATGTCGCAAAGTACAAGGTGACTCTTCGCATTGGCACTTCATGACTTCCTCTAAAACTAGCTAAAGGTGCCTCCGCTATGAAAATGAACTCTTATTTTTCCGAATATCGTGAAATTTTTAGTTTTTTTATTTCTACCGCGAGTACGACTCTTGAAACATCATTCTTGCCGATGCTTTTTATATGTCGCTCATGTTTCATCAGCTATGCTTCTTTGTCTCTTTGGTGCAACGCAGGCCCTGAGTACTGCAGAAGAGATGGTTTTCCACCTCCAGACTCAGGTAGATGAGCTGAAGGAGGATGTGGTTTCGAGAGATAACCTCTTAAGATTACTACAAAAGGAAGGAACTCTGTCTTCTCAATCTCTCCAGAGAGCCGCCCAGGTTTTGATTCTTGATTCACCCTGAGAAACGTCTTTAATGTTTCTGTTTCGCTTCTGTTTCGCTTGCGTCTTTGTTCCTTGGTCACTGTTTATTGGTACTGACAGCTACACAATGTCTCAGCAGTCGCTGCAAGACGCTGAAAAAAAAATGGTAGAGCTGGAGAGACGAGTACATGTAGGTGAGGACCTACTATATAAAGAGAGGGACAAGCTCACAGCAGCTCTAAGAACAGCTGGGTTACATGAGCATGCACTCAAGATCGCAGAACTCAAGGTGGCAGAACTCACTGCCGAAGTTACATCTCTGAAGGTTCGTTGCTTCTACCTCTGTGTCTCTCCGCAGCTATTCTTCTGAAGATTTAACCTTCACACTGACAGTTGTGTGAATCTTCTATTCACCTTAGGTCTTTGGTCTGAAATATGTATATGTGTAGGACTCCTTTCTCGTTAGTTCTTCGGATTGGAGAATTTGGTGAAGCACGGTTGGTTTTTCTGTTGGTATAGTCTAGTTCGGATTTATCAATGGCTGCAATAGCTTTGAATGTGCCTCGGTGAAGTCTTATGCATCCTCATATTATGGACCTTTGGTCCATAATAGGCTAGTGCGAGTTCAGAACGATTGTTTCTTACGGAAAAAACCTGGGATGAAAATGGTGGTTTTTTTATCCTAGAAGTACAGTAGTGTACTGTTGCTTCTTTTTTGCACAAGTGGGAAGTCAAAATTTTGTAATTTGCACGTTTGCATTTCGAGATTGGATCTTCATGAACGGGGTTTCCCCATAATTTGATTCCTTTTTTGCTTCGCCACTGATCCGTTTTGACCTTACGACGGTGTGTAAGTGTTTGGGGATAGTTCATTTCCTGCTTAGAATATGGAGAATGGCAGCTTTGTGACTGGTATTCTTCATTCGAATTTTGAGTATCCCTATCCTTGGTGTGTCATCGCAGGAGTCTTTAGGTACGGGAAAAGGTGTCGAGCAACTCACCGCACAGGTAAAGACATTAGAGCAAGAGCTGAGGTCAAGAGACCGTCTACTGCTGGAAATCAAGGAGGAGACCTTACGCAGCACGGAGGCATTAAAACTAGCAGCTCAGATCAAACAGGTAAATCTCTAGGTTGTGTTACACATACTTTCAATTTCAAATGTTGTCGCACATTAGTCTTATACATGGGGAGATTGAAGGATTATAGTGAAGGCGTAGGTTTGTTCTCTTTTCATGGTTTACGTGGATGGGAATCTTACACAAGGCCTGTTGCGTTACAGGATCTTAACGCAACGAGACAAAGGGAAATCCATCTTACACAAACTTTAGAAGCTGCGAATGAGAAGATCAAGGAACTTGAAGGACAACTGGCTCATAATGTTCGTGCTACAAGGGCGGAGGGGGTAATATATACATCGCAATTTCTGCAATCAAGTTATCATAACATCTAATGATGCTATGTCTAAGATGCTAAGTCTTGTTTGTCTTCTGTAGATCTTGAAACAAAGTCAGAAGATGTTGAGCGAGGTCAAGTCTGAAGTGGAGCTTCTCCGACAAGGAGTTGAAGCAAGAGACAGGGCCATCAACATCATGAAGGATGAAGTGGACACGAACATAGATCTTCTTCGATCCGCAGCACGCAATCGAGAGGTAAAGTTTGCTGAATTGCATATTGTGTGTATCGAACACTTCGTTAAGATCTGCAGAACTTTGCATTTTTTCGGAAAACTACAGTGCATATCGGTCTTGAGTTTCCTGAAATCGCTCTTGCCTGTATAGATTTTTTTGTGACCCTGAGTCTGTCTCTTAAGTTCTGTGGCAATCTCAGTCCACGTGTGAAAACGGTGAGCATCAATATTCATCTTCCAACTTTCTCATTGCATAGGAATTGCGCAACATGAACCGACATGTTGGGGAGCTGCGAATGGAGTTGGAGTCTAGAGATGCGAAGTTATCTATGATGCGGGAGGAGATGGCTCTGATCATCGACCTGGCCAAGAAGCAACAGAGTCCAAGAAAATCTAGATCTAAAACCATTGCACAATCACCTGCAACCTCTACTTCCTCATCGTCTCCGGTGGACGTTGAGGTGACGAACTTTACCCACTTCTAATATCTCGGCTTCCCAAAGAAACATCGAACTTTCACATTAATCTCACTGATAATCATTTATGTTTCAGGAGTTGAAACCGAAGAGAAAGACCCCAGTACGAAAGTCTAGAGAGTCTGGAACGTCCTCGTCTCCGGCTCGAAAGCCTAACGGAACACGACGGACCACTCGATCTCCTCCTCAACTCCCGTGATGTAATTCCTGTAAGTCAGTCAAATCGCTTGTTGTTCATTGGCTAACCAGCTGCTTATGTTTGTGCTACATCATGTGGACTTCCTTGGTTCAAGTACCGGCTTCACGTTGAAATTGAAGGAATCCGTTGGGGATTATCATACATCAGGAGTGTCCTTTTGTGGACGGTAGTCCTTCACTTCTTAGGTTCTGAGAATAGCATCGGGTCTTTCTATAACATCACGAAAGTATGTTATGTCACGCAGTGGTACAATGTAGCTCTACATTCTAGTGATCTGCATCGATATTTTTTGTCAAAGCACTTCGAGGTCCTCACTTTGGCGTAAGAACACTGGTTTCCAAATGTAAGTAAGTTCCAATCTTGTTATGTTTGTTGATCTTATTTTTTTGACAAAACGTCCTTGTTTTCACATGGTTTAGGGAATTGTTATTCCACATTTATGTTTGGTCGCTATAGGCATCTCGATGTTCGCAGGTTTGCCCTAGGGACCCTTATCTGGTCAAGTTCACGAGTAAAAATTACTGTGTTCAAAGCAAGCGAAATATCTTGTGACCTACGTGCTCGCACGACTGAGAGACTGGGTGAATACTATGCAGGCGCCCATCGTTTTGATGAATGATGAGGATTGGTGAAAGTCTGAACCGGAGGATTTGGAACAGTTGAATCGGAGCATTCATTTGACAGAAATTTCCAACATCACCTCATGTGGGTATTTTGGTCTGAAGCCGGTTGAGCATTGCGATCTGTCTGGAAGCCTGAGCTCTCCGCGGATCGTTCCATGATCGTTTTCGCGATCCATCCGTCCATAGATTCGACTCTCGTGTCACGCGATAGAGGGTCAGCTTTTGAAGCTAAAAATTTTGACCATATGAGTATGTAGTTCAATTTCCATGGGTCACATTCTGTGCCCGAGGAACCACCAGAGTAGGGGCTTAGATTCCCATGTTAACCGGTACATTGACATTTAATTTAACAGTACACATGAAAACGTATGTACGAGGTACATAAATAAACTTCTTTGGTCCTGAAGTTATGTTTCACAAAGTGTTTGCCGAATCGTGAGCGAGTCGCTGTGACGGATGCGGCGAGCGAGGAAACGTCCACCAAATCAGGAGATCGAGCTTGTGAAATGTTCACGTCAGTCTGCGGTCTTTCCCGTAAATGTCCTAGTGGTATGCATGGACTCTCTCAGATGAAGGACATTATCTTGCAAGCATGTCATCACTCCATAAACATTTCGCCTTCCGGAATCTCATCACGTTACCGCGGTCAGATTTGTGTGAGGTTGGTGATCTGTCGTCGGATTTTTGAAATTGATGAAAATGAAAGTCACTTGTGAAAATCTGAGTCAGATACTCATTAGCGTCCTTTCGACGCTCTTCAGAAAGATTTTTTGTAACAGAAATTTTCATATGTATGAAAATGCTCTGTGGTGACTGGACCTTGTGCTCGAGTGCCAAGGCTACTTATGGCTCGTAGCAACCCAGTGGCCAGTGAACGCTATATAAGGAAACTTGCACCTGAATTTGATCCTGCAGGAAGAATGAGATTAAATGTAAACGTGCCTCTGCCGCAGGAAAGATGAGATTCAATTTAAACGTGCCTCTGCTGAGGACTCATGGAGCGAGCAGTGGAAAAGACATGAGCGTACTTGGTCATTCCAAACACTGATTTGTACCAGCCGATAGTTCTCTCTTGCACAGTTATCGGAGTTCCTGCCTAGGGGCATCTTCGAAGTACGCCCTGACCAAGCCCAGGGTCCAGGACTCCAGGGCCGTGACGTTGCCGAGGCTTTGCAGCGTGCGAAGTCCCATGTGAAGTGCCAAGTCCTGCTCCACTTGCTATCCGGTCCGGACTGGGCTCATGTGTGAGTGTGTGCGTACAAGTGCGTGTTGTCTGCAGTTATAGTTGTGAATCTCTCCATTGCAGTCCAGACTTGGCCAGGCGTCGAGGACTCTGGAGTGGAGATTGACCAGCGGCCCCGCAGGCCGAGCAGTGGAGGTCGAAGCATTTGTGTCTAAAAAAGAATTATGGCTGAACTGTGGCTTCTGCAAGTACGATCGTCAAGGTGCCGAGCGACGGGTCAGGGGGCTCGCTTTGACCACATTCGAGCTGCGTTTGAACAAATCAGAATGGACATTCAAGCAAGTACAGGCATGGAAATGCTGCCAGGATTGCATTTACGGGAGTAGAATACGGAGGGGCTCGCTTCGAGAAATTTACTGAGCTGTAACCCTGATCCTGACTGCACCATCGTGTTGCATGCTTCAGACAACACAAGAGCATGGAGAATCTTTCTTTAAAAGTGATCTGTCATGAAACTCCACCAGGTAGTCATAGGCACCGCATTTCCCAGCACCACCTTTAAGAGCACCACTTCCAAGGGTGTGCACGACTAGCACCGCCCGACGAACTGGCATGAAATCAAAGAATTCTCCAAACCTCCCACACACTCTCACACATTCTTATCCTCCCTTCGCTCTCTTCCCTCCCTCTCTCTATCTCTCTCCTCCTGACACACATGCCTCCTAAGTGTAACTCCTTTCCACCTCCCTTCGTCCTTGGTTGCTGGGGATAGTAGACTTTCGAGGGCCAGCACAGCCCACCCCTCTCCTCCCCTGCTAACACTCACGGGGTCCTTTTCTCACTCGTACACAAGTCAATCACTTCGAGGACTTAATGGGTTGACAGGGAGTTTGGAGCTAGCTTTGTTTGGGATAAACAGGATACTTGACATAACCTGGCGAGGAGATGGGACACTTTTCCCGATCCGAGTGGTAGTTACACTGTGGAATCGTGGGGGCTGCTCCAACACAGTGGCGAACACATCCTTCCTGGTGTGCGCGATTTTGACCTCCCTCCCGCTCCGATGCGACCCTGGTAACCACGACAATTGGCCTGGGCTGGAAGCAACTAATCTCCTTGTAACACCAGCGCAGCTCATACATGATGCTTCTTAATAATTCAGCCGAAGTGAGCAATGGCGTGAATGTCATTGTGGGTGTGTGCTTCTCATTCCCCGAGCTTTCACTGTTGCCCCCGAAGGACCATTGCTGGTCTCAAGGAGACATCGCTCACTTCCACTGGTACCAGTGCTTCCAACGTACTCGCTACAGTTATCCCCGCTCTCTCTAACTAGACCTTTTCATTAATATTCTCCCCGCTCCTCTCCTCCGCACCATGTTTGTTTGTGCTGGTTACTATTGTCCTATATTCATTCTTGCATCGGTCCAAGGCTTCGGACATGGACATGGGCTTTCTCCTCCCCCTCCTCCTCCTCCTCCTGCTATACGGACATCCCTCTCTCTCTCTCTCTCTCTCTCTCTCTCTCTCTCAAGCATAGATCTCTCTCCGCCTTTGCTCCCTCGACTAGAAGGGAGACGAATCTAAAGATTCGTTTTGGCCTTTTGCAATGTCGTACACTCGCTTTGTCGTCCATGGAGTAGAGAACTCTTCATTTTCCGATTTGTACACTTTTTCCGAGAGACCTTTCGCGCACAAAGTATAATATGTGTACCTTTCCTTCGATCCCATAAACGGCAAGTTTTGTACTTGTGGTACAGTTTGGGTACGATGGCCCTTTCTCTCCTTCTCTGGCTTGCGCACTCATTTGGGTCCTTGATGCGCACTAGGCAGATCCCATATTCCGCCCGCGAATATACGATGTCCAACAAATCTCAGGTAGATGTGCCTCGGCCATACAGGTCGTTTCCGAATGGCAGGAAAGGTGTGCTTCCCGATCCCTTTATGAGATGCATTTTACAACCATTTCGGGCTCACCTCCTCACCATCACCCCTCCCCCTCCTCGCTGCTGTTGCTGCTCCCTCTGCTGCTTCTGCTCCTTCTGCCGCTGCCCTCGTTGTCGTTGCTGCGGTTGGGTGAATTCTCGGCACCGGCGTCCAATGGTCTCCGAGTACAGCAGGAGATGGAGCTCGCTCAGGTGCACATGACTGCTGAAAGGCCGGAATCCTCTCCCGCCCCGAATCATCTTCTGCGTGCTAGGCTCCGATGCTGCAGCGAGAGCATGGCAATTGAGCCCGGCCAGCCAGCCAGCAAGCAAGCCAGCAAGCCAGCCATCCAGCCATCGAGCCAGCCAGCGAGCGAGCCGCTAACCTTGTCGCAGTGTGCGCCTGCGTGTCTGCAGCCTCGGGTACCACGTAGCTCGTGTTCGTGCTGCAGCACCTGCAGCTGCTGATGGCTGCTACCGTGATTGCAGTGATGGTGCTCCTACTGCATTTGAGTGTGGATGTGCACCGGATGGGCATTGCTCGTCTTTTTCTGATTGCTTGTGGATCATCTCGCTGCGCTGCCCCCGCCAGCCCGCCATCCCACAGCGCGGGTTCTTTTGTGTTTTTCCTCCCCCTTGGCAACCACAGACATTCGCCAGATATGTCCAAAAGTGCTCCTCTACCGAAGCCTTATCCCAGCGGGCGAATCATGAGTTTGTCCAACAACACCAGACAGGCACAATGAGATGCTATAGCTGCAGTTTCGGCTCGCACTGCGAAATGATTAGCCGGCTCCAATCTTCAGCCCCCGGTGGATTCCAAATATCTTTCACCCTCTTATTTTGCTTCCCAACATCTTTCTCCTCCTGCTCACCGCTGCTCGAACAATATTTTAATAAGTCCAGTCCAGTTCAGCTCAGTGCAGGGCAGTCGCCAAGTTGGAAGTTGGAAGGGCCTGAGCAGAGAATCAAACCTCCCAAAATAATCCTGAATCATACAGGAATTTTTTTTTCGACTACACCGTCTGGCATAGCGTGGAATTTCCACAGGCCAAGCATGGCTGCAAACTCCTCGGTAATAGGTAGTTACAGCGGCTCATTCGGTAGGTATTTCATTTTAAAAACAAAAAAAGAAGTACTTCCTGTCTGCTCAGGTAGGCTCGGTTCTGCAGTGATATTGTTTATTTCGATGTTCTTCCTTGTGATCTCGCAGGGAAATAAAATTTTCGTCACTTGCTTCAAAAATTAAAATATTAAAAAATCCAGAGATGAAAACATGAGCGTGAAGGAGGCGAAAAACAATCCCCAGGGGCCCAATAAGTGACCAGAAGAGTTGTAAGAGGGGCCATGGGAGCTGAGTGAAAAGGGTGAGGTAAAGAATCGCGGTACATGAGGAGTGTCGTTGTTGATGCTGCCTGAGGTGGACGAGGACAGTAATCGAGATGAACGGGAAGGAGAAGGAGAAGACGGCAGGAAGGCGGGCAGGCATGAGTCATGAGCGCCTCTCTCCTCCCTTTGGGCAACTACAGGCCAGTGCCTGAGCCACTGCCGACAGGAAGTCCAGAGACCCGTCGGAACGTTACCGGGCAAAACTGTCGAGCAACGACAAGACGGGGTCGCTCGACCAGCCAGCCAGCCTCCCGACCGACCGGCCCCAGAACTCCCCGGCGACGGGCAAATACCCTTCTTCCCCCTTTGCAAATGCCCGAACGCGATACTGTAACAGAGAACAGAGGGGGGACTACTGCCGCTCGGTACATGGGGGAGTGAGTAGCCAGTGCAGCCCAGGCCGGGCAGGGGAAAGCAAAGAAGGGGAGGGGTTCCGAGGGGACGGGAAGGGGAAGGGGAAGGGGATAGAGGGGAAGGGAAGAGAACAGAAACGAGGGCAGCAGTAGTAGCAGCAGCGGCAGGGGGTGCTAAGGGGGCTCCGGTCGGCTTCTGAGCACACAGTGGAATCTCTGGGCGCCTAGGCCAGTTGGGGGGGGGGGGGGGGGGGGGGGGGGGGCGAGGAGGAGATGAGATGGCCTTGCCGGGAGTACCACTGTACTGTACTGGGAGAGGGGGGTGCTTGCATCACAGGCGGGCATCAGCCTAGGCTACGTGGTTGGTTAGCTTTGAGAAGGATCCAGGCGCTCGCAGGGAGAGCAGCGAGCGAGAGCCAGGGGCAAAAGAAACAAGGAGTTGTCCACAACAAACGCAACAGAAGCTCACGAAACACCGTACAGTGTTGTTTGTATGTTCACCATCTGGCCAGCAGAGAAAGCATAAGATAATCTGCAGCTCGGGCCGAGAGGAGCTTCAGGCCAAGAAGCGAACTGTCAGTGCTAAAGGTTGTGATGTCACGGGTGAATCGATGATGGCACTGATGACCGAGGCCTACGGGCCTGCGCAGCCCCGATGGCGCCATCGATAAGCAGATCTAGGCCGCAATGAATCATAGAATTGTGGTCTGGAATTTCACGAAGATTGTAGATGCAGCTGCAGGGTTCCCCGTTGATGAGGTGTCGTTAGAGTGATCTAGTGATTCATCGCAAGCATTCTAACTGAATCTCCCCT